ACTTTTGAGACAGATGTGTTTTGATCTCTAGAGGAAGAGAGCCATTTGAGGTAAGATTTTCTGGATCGGTCGAGGTTCAACATCATATATAAGAGATAGAATGTTTATATGTAGTTTGGTTTTTTTTTTTGTTGTTGTTGTTTTCTGTTTTTTTTGTTTTTTTTTTTTTACTTTACATTAGTAATTTTGTTTGGGAGGGCATGATAGTTTAATAAAGCATATTGTTTAATTTTAATTTTAGGAATGAGCACGGATCCTTCATCAGGCAATTGAGGAGAAGAGGATTTTGTACAGTTTTGAGATGGGGTGAGAGGAAAGCTATGTCGCTTTTCTGGAGGAGGAGGGTGTTGCAGATGAGGTGCACATCAACCAATAATGTCCTTATGGCTCACTCTGTTTCTATGCAGATGGCAAAGAGGAACCTAGCAACTGTGGGAATAACCTGGTTACCCAGGGCGTTGTTTTGTCAAGGATGGATTCAGCCCCCTGGCACTGTAAAAGATAAGTTGAGGGACTGGTGCTTGGGAGAAGGCTCTGGGGGGCAGCCCAAGGTTGGGAATTGCAGGGAGAAGTTTTAAAGTTAATTTACGGGAGAGGGCCGTCCAGGAACAGGTGCTCTTTGGGCAGCTGAAGCGGGGGTGGAAGGGGTTCCTTTTCAGCATGAGGTTAGCACATGCCAGGCAGCACAGTTCCGACCTGTGTCTGTTGTCATGTAGTGTGTGTTGTCTGTCTCGTGTGTCTTTAGACCTTTCTTGGGTCTCGATGTCAGTCGTGGCTCTTTGAGCTCAAGGAGCACAGTAGTTGCCTCGGACATCTTCCCTTGGGCCCGGAACACCCATCCTCATCGGCACAGTGCCAACCAGGCAGTTCTTGTTTTTGCTGTACTAGGCCTAAAGTGTGGCTAGGTCTCAGAAGTTTCTAGTCAGGCTGCGTTTGCAATGTCGTTCCGGGCTGCGTTAGCATCTCTTACGTACAGCGATCCATTTTCACAAATATCTTTTCTGGGAGATCTTCCCAGCATCTTGACGTTCTTAGGTCTTGAAGCAATGTTACTTGTGCGTGCCTTACCCCTGTGGAGGCTATAAGGTTTTCTCTCAGGCCATAACACTTGACTCTTCTCAGCCTGCCGCCCATTCTTCCTCACGGCCCTGTAGGTCTTCTTGTCTGAGAGCATCTCCGATCTGAGTCTTTCCTCTTAAAGAGCTTATTTTATGTCTCTCATCTTGTCTGTGTGCCGTGTCGGTCTGTGCATGTTTGTTTGTGTCGGAGCTGCTCTGCCTGGGCATCTTGGCAAGTGCTGCTACTTGTTTTTTTGCAGGTGACACACGTAGCCTCAGAAGGGTGAAGGAGCATGCAGCTGAGCAATCTGAGAAGGTGAGGCGGTCATCAGCCAGGTCCGAGCCTAATAGTGCAGTCTTATATGGCCACTCGGTTAAGTGAAGAGGGTCCCAATACGGAGAGTGGCCCGAGTAACGACAATCACCCTGATGCGACTACATGTCGTTCCCACTTTATTGCCCGAATCTCTTTGTTATATACTTTGCAAAGCAAGCACCCACCGTTCACGCGCCCCATACCCCTTGATTATTGGTCATAAGCAACTTATCACGCACCCAAAGGGAAACTGTGATCGGCAAGCATCTTGCGGTTTGCTGCATACTTGTGCTTAGCTTAGCCAGATACATAGCTGAGAAAATTCCTCATTAACAGATACAGTTCCTCACAACACAGCCCTTCAAGGTCATTCTCATAACACAGCTGTTGTTAGCAGTCTGATCTCAGGCCTGGATTGTCCAAACCTTGCAACAAAATATCGTGGCCGTTCTCTGTCAGAAATTCTACTACAGTTAAGCATTTACCTTGGTTTTGCAGGTGCCAAGTGAGCCACCTTTGGGATCATCTGAGCATCCGAAAGCAGCCGGGGTAGTAGCAACGACGAGCACGGAGTCGGTGACTTCTCACAAGCACAACGGTAAATTTGTCTCTCGGTAAGTAAGGTAACGAAAGCTACAACGGCTGCGGCATCTGAATCCAAAAGGAGCAGGTGAGCGGAACACCGCAATGCTTCTGAGGATGGGGGGGTGTTGCGGATAGAGGTAAGCAGGGAGCAGCGTGATACTGACCAGCAGTTGAGCTCTTCAGTGCTTTTTTGCAGGCGATAAAGGAATCTGGCCACCGCAGGAACGTGCTAGTTAGCTGCTGTGCTGTTTTTTGTTGAGGATGGAATCGGACCTCTGGCCCTCTGAAAGCTAAGTCGAGGGAACAGGGCCGAGAGGAGGGGACGAGGTTGGGAATTGCAGGGAAGTGTTTGAAAGTTAGGATAGGGGAGAAGGCTGTACAGGAGCGGGGCCCTACGGTCAGGTAAAGAGAACGGGTTACTTTTCCCCTCGATGTTAGCGTGTCCCGGGCATGGCAGTTCCAGCCTCTGCGTGTGTCAACGTGTTGTTTTGTTTCTTCTGTCTACGGTGTCTTTGCCCTTCCTCGGCTGTAAATGTCCTCACATCTCTTTGAGCTCGAGGAGCACGGCACGTGCCTGAGGCGCCATCCCTAGGGTATCGAACGCCCATCTTCATCGGCACGCTGCCGATCGGGTGCTTTTTTTATTCTTGCATTATCAGCTTAAAGCGTGGGTAGTTCTTGGAAGTTTCCGGTCGGGAGTCTTTTGCGCAGCATCGTCGCCGGCTCTGGCGTCAGCTCTGCTATTTAGGCATCCGTTGTTCCTGCCGGTGACTTCTTTCCCGTATCCTGACGTTCTTAGGTCTTGAAGCCCATCTTCTTGCATACCCATCGTCTCGGTTTTGACGGTAGCTTCTCGTAAGGGGCCGTTCCACTTAGTGCTTCTTGTAGGCTGCCATATAGCCTCCTCACGTCGCCATCGTGGCCCTCCGAGTCTTCTCGCCTTACGGCATAGCCTTCTGGGTGTCCTTATCGCTTAGCGTTTAGTCCTCTTTGAATCGCGTCATTTGTAGTATTTTGTGTGTGTCTGTGTGGCTCGGAGCTGCTCTGCCTGGGGGTGTGGAGTCTCAGGGATAGGTGGAATAGAGTTCACGGGTACACTGTGTGGGTTTGTTTTAAATAAGAAAACAAATCCTCCAACTGGGTGACATCTTTGTCTCCCCGGTGGGGTTTATTTTCACCCAGTCGCAGATGCTCTCTGAGGGTGACGGTCGCGGTCAGCGTCTGGGTGAAGGTCAGGTTTGGGCCGGGATTTCCTCAGGCTAGGCGCTCGAGTCCCCCAGGAACAGGTATTCAGGGGGTGACTGCCCGTCGTGACGGTTGGGCGGAAGGATGGGCCGGTGGAGAGTGGGGGTTGGTTTTGGCGGTAGGTGGAATAGCGCCATGTTTAGAATGTGTCTAGCTGTGTAAGAGTATTTGTCGTCTCTTTTCTTCCAGGGTGTAGGCGGGGCTCAATTTGACTACGTAGACTGGATTTAATGAAAACCTCTGTCAGGGGAATAAACTTCTGTTTTTTCCTGTCTCCTGGCTGGGTAGTTTTTCCCTGGTCCCGGCCGGTGTGCGATGCAAGGATCGTTATCTGGATTTGGGTGCAGGTCAGGCTCAGGCTGGAGTTTTTTCGGGCAGGATGATTTTTTGAGGCCCCCGTACCTGGTGTTTCTGAGGATCACGGAGGGTGATGGCTTGTGGCGGTTTTGGTGGTAGGGTGGCCGAGGGGAGAGCGGGTGGTGGTTTGAGTGGTAGCTGGCTGTGTGGTGTTTAAAATGTGTGTAGCAGTGCCTGAATGGTTGATGTTTTGGTTTTTTCCTTACGGGCTGTAGGTTGTGTAGCTTTTGTTTAGAGGCAGTAGACAGACAAAATAGAAATTAAAAAAAAAAAAACAAAAAAACAAAAAAACAAAAACAAACAAAAAAAAACCACCAAACCACACAAAACCAAAAATCCAAAAAACCCAAAACAGCTGGGGGACAAGAAATTTTTTCTCTTCCTGTCCCCTGGCTGGGTTTTTACTCCCCGCTCCTGGCCGGTCTGTGAGGCGACTGTTGTCGCCTATGTTTGGGCGCAGGTCTGTCTCAGGCTGGTGTTTTTAAGGCAGTGAAACAAAAAAGGGCCGAACAATAGGCCTCAAACCAAGGTTGACTTCTGAGTGAATCCCCCGACCAGCGACCAGCATCTTATCAGCGTGAAAATGCACCCCTGGGAAGGATCCCTGGGAACAATCAGTAAACGACAGGAAGTAACTATAAATCCCAAATGTACCGAAAAAGAGGAACTCCTCAGACATGCCCGGATCCTGGCCAGATCTGGACGTGCCTGAGTGAGGCATATCAACCTCCCAGATATCTCCTGTGCATTTTGTATAGACTTGTTTGTTAAACTGTATAAAAGCCGGACCCTCTCGCAGCAAAGACGGAGACCTTACCTACGAGTGGACGCACTGCGTGGGACTTCCCAATTGCCGGGAAAGGCTCTCCGACCCTTCGCTGTGACGGGGCTCCCCAGCTGATGCACGGGTCTGGATGATGGTCAAGTAGGAAGGCAATTGGTGATGTATCTTTCTTAATCACTAGAGCTAGCTTTATGTAGTAATGACTAGATGCGTTACCTCGCTTATTCTTTCTGCTGCTTTAAACCAAAGTGAAATAAGCCTATTTCTTTAGCTTGGTGATGTGTCCTTTGTGTTAACCCCGTCAACTGGCAAAACAGGCAGGCAGAAATTTTTTTGTGTGGCCTCCCCGGGAAGAGCCGGTTGTGTTTTCTCCCATTTGTTTTTTCTTGCAGGTGAAGAGGAAGGCGTCAACTGCAGGAACGTGCTAGTTAGTTGCCGCGCTGCTTTTGTCGAGGATGGAATCGGACCTCCGGCCCTCTGAAAGCTAAGTCGAGCGAACGGGGCCGAGGTTGGGAATTGCAGGGAAGTGTTTGAAAGTTAGCACGGGGGAGAAGGCTGTACAGGAGCGGGGCCCTCCGGTCAGGTAAAGGGAACGGATTACTTTTCCCCTCGATGTTAGCGTGTCCCGGGCAGGGCAGTTCCCGCCTCTGCGTGTGTCATCGTGTAGTTTGTTTCTTCTGTCTGCCGTGTCTTTGCCCTTCCTCGGCTCTAAACGTCCTCGCGTCTCTTTGGGCTCGAGGAGCTCGGCACGCGTCTCGGGGGCCATCCCTAGGGTATCGAACGCCCATCTTCATCGGCACGCTGCCGATCGGGTGCTTTTTTATTCTTGCGTTATGAGCTTAAAGCGTGGGTAGGTCTTGGAAGTTTCCGGTCGGGAGTCTTTTGCGCAGCATCGTCGCCGGCTGCGGCATCAGCTCTGCTCCTTAGGCATCCATTTTCACGGACTGCGACGTCTCCCCTGCATCCCTCCGTCCTAGGATTCGGACTCCTACTTCTCATCCACCGTCTCGGTTTTGACGGTAGCTTCGTATAACGGGCCATAACGCGTGACTCTTTCTGGGGCTGCCGTATAGCCTCCTCGCCTCCCAGTTGTGGCCCTCTAGGTCTTCTCGCCTGACATGGTATCTTGTCTGAGAGCCCTTATCGCTTAGAGTTTATCTTGGAATCAAACCTTTGGTAGCGTTTAGCGTTAGTGTATGCGTGTGCCTGTTTGGCTCAGAGCTGCCCTGCCTGGGGGGTGTAGAGTCAGGAGTAAGTACAACGGCAGTAGAAGTCAACGGTTTAAATGTTGATACGCTTAGACCGCCTAGGCGACAGACGTACGGTCACCTCGTAGTAGCCATCCAGAGGCTGTGCGGACGGTCATTTCTAGGGCGTTTTATGGAGACTGTTGGAGCGGTGTGGGAGCAGCTGTCCAGCAGTAGCAAATGAGATGGAATCTCAAAGGTGTTAAGGCTCGCAGGCGTGGGAGCGTACGCTCTGGGGGGAGGCGCGTGGTTTTCTTTTTAACAACAGGCTGTAGTTGGATGCCAGCTAGTATCCCTAGGTGGAAGTGACACCTCCGGATTTGTTAAGCCTCCGGGTGACTCGCGTAACTGTTTTGACATGCAGATCGGTGAGATGCGCACCAAAGAGTGACGGGGGAGGTGAGCGGAGGGCTGTGAGAAGGTGGGTCACTGAGTGGTGCGGGAGGGAAGATGGCACCGGTGCTATCTGAGGGGATGATAGCGGTGTGTGGTGTGTTTTGTGGTGTTTTTTGTTTGTTGTTTTTGTTTTTTAGATGGAGAGCCACAAGCAAAGTAGGATTTTGGCACCGGAGGCAGCTTGGGCGAGGTGAGCCACGACGAGGGGGGTTAAAGTAGCAGTTCTTATTTTAGGCATCAAATTGTCGGTGAAAGTAGAAGCATCCCTTGTGGTACGTGTGTTACAGGTGGCACGCGAGCCTTGACGTGACAACTGGAAACAGCAGCGGCAGGGCAGGTGAAGGGCCGAGGTAAGGGAGCGGGAGATGGGAATCCGTGCGGGCAGACCCCAGTTTCAGGCGGTAACTCTCGGCACGTGTCTTTTCCTTGAGTTTTTTGCAGGTGCCGCGGATGGCCGCGGAGGGGCCGAGCCGCACGCAGACTGACAGTGTGAGAAGGTGAGGCAGTTGTCAGCCAGGTCGGTGTCTAATACGGAAGTATCGTAGGACCGCTCCGTTGAGCGCTCGCCTTGCTTTTGCAGGTGCTTTGGGAGCCGCCTTTGGGATGGGATGAGCGTTTGAAGCGAGCCGGGGTAGTCGCAAGGAGGATCGTGGGTGACTCGTTAGAAGCGCAAGGGTAACTTTGTCTCTCGGTATCTTAGGTAACGCCAGTGACGACGGCTGCAGCATCTGACTCTGCAAAGAGCCGGTGAGCGGAACCCCGCGACGCTTCTGAGTACAGGGGGGTGTCGTGGAAGAGGTAGGCACGGAGCAGCGCGATGCCAACGGCCGGTTGTGTTTTCTCCCGTTGGCGTTTTCTTGCAGGTGAAGAGGAAGGCGGCAACTGCAGGAACGTGCTAGTTAGCTGCCGCGCTGCTTTTGTCGAGGATGGAATCGGACCTCCGGCCCTGTGAAAGCTAAGTCGACCGAACGGGGCCGCGAGGAGGGGCCGAGGTTGGGAATTGCAGGGGAGTGTTTGAAAGTTAGCACGGGGGAGAAGGCTGTACGGGAGCGGGGCCCTCCGGTCAGGTAAAGGGAACGGGTTACTTTTCCCCTCGATGTTCGCGTGTCCCGGGCAGGGCAGTTCCCGCCTCTGCGTGTGTCATTGTGTTGTTTGTTTCTTCTGTCTGCCGTGTCTTTGCCCTTCCTCGGCTCTAAACGTCCTCGCGTCTCTTTGTGCTCGAGGAGCACGACACGCGTCTCGGGGGCCATCCCTAGGGTATCGAACGCCCATCTTCATCGGCACGCTGCCGATTGGGTGCTTTTTTTATTCTTGCGTTATGAGCTTAAAGCGTGGGTAGGTCTTGGAAGTTTCCGGTCGGGAGTCTTTTGCGCAGCATCGTCGCCGGCTGCGGCATCAGCTCTGCTCCTTAGGCGTCCATTTTCACGGACTGCGACGTCTCCCCTGCATCCCTCCGTCCTAGGATTCGGACTCCTACTTCTCATCCACCGTCTCGGTTTTGACGGTAGCTTCGTATAACGGGCCATAACGCGTGACTCTTTCTGGGGCTGCCGTATAGCAGTGTTCTGAGTGCCTTTCTGTACAAGTTTTCTGTCTCACAGTTTACTTCTGAAATAAGAAAAAACCCAAACCAAACCAAAACAAACTAGTATATGTTGTATGTGACTTCATGTTTGGGGTGCAGAAAAAGGGAAGAAATGGACAAAAGGAGAATTCACAACATTCATTTCAAAATGTGGGCAAAGGGAAGTCTTAAAGGGGATACATAAAATTTTATGATTTCAGTATGATAGAGTTTAACAATGCATCTGTCCACTGGAAAGCAAACAGGCAAAAAGTATACATGCGTTTTATAAATCATACATGCTAAAAATAACAGCAATATTTGAGTGTTCTTTTACTTGTACAATTTGAGAGAAATTTCACTGAGAGCAGTTAAATTACACTAGGAATCAGAAGAATCAACATGTCATCGAGAATTTACTAACATACAGTTTTATAACTATATTATTATTATTAATGTCAATAAACACTTGTGTAAGTAAGGATGGCTAGAACAGAAGTGTGTTGTGAAAGACATAATTTTTCATTTTAGTGATTCAGTAAGCTAAATTTTGCTTTTGTCATGTAAAAGAGAACACTTTTAACATTTTTAATTTTAACAATTTTCTCAATAATTTTCTACAGTCAGAGGCTTGTTCATATACAGCATGTCATTATCTGATGAGAATTTTCAGGCTATGGCAACAGATTTGCACTGTAAATGTTCACTTGTGTCTGAAGGATGCGCAGTGTCTTTCTGTCATATTTTTTTCCTTTTCATTTATTACTCAGTAAGTTTTGGTGAACAGTAAATTTAGGTGGAAATAGGTATTTATTTAACATTCGACAGAAGGAAAATTGTTGACATTCTTCACATTCCACATATATTGCATATACAGGCTTTTGGGATGAGTCCAGTCCAACTTCTCAAATGCCTGAACTACTTCTGTTTCTGTCTGGTGAAACCTTTAGTCATGAATAGCTGATGTACTAGAACACCTAGTCTATTAAAACCATTTCTGTTGTGGGGTTTATCTGATTTAGTTTGGATTTTTTTGTACTCTGTTGAACCATAGCCAAAGAAATATCCTTTGGGGAACACAGAGTTGCTGGACATCAGTTTAAGCAGGCTTGAGATGGTTCTCCAGAATATGCTGTGGTAGAGCCAATCCTAAACTAACACGGATATCTAGTTCCCTACCAAAGACTGATTGGTCCTGGTAGGGTACACAGGCCTATGGCTAGATGTATTATACATTTTGTTTCCCATTACTGTTCATAGTGATGAGAAATGGGCAAACTGGTGCATCTAATAGACATACAAAATATTACAGTATGTGGATAGTGTACTCTTCTTTAATATTACCATTTTTCTAGTGAGGGGAGACCATACTTTTTTTTTAATTCAAGAATGAAGACAAAAGAAAGTTGTGTGATTATTTCGATCCCTGTCATGAAAGGAAGCGAACCCCATTGGACAGAGTTGTGCTACAGAGTGAATGGAATAATTAAGGCAGGTCATTTGGTGCCTTTCCTACTTGTGGTTACACAAAACATACACAATTAATATGAGTATATGAATGTATTAATAAAATGTATGTAATATAGTGGAAAGAGAGAAGAGGCGCATGAGTGGATTCTGCACTACACATGTACCAAGATCTGCATGCACTGTCAACACAAAAAACAATAATTCTGCAAGTGAAATAAAAGTTGTCATTTAGTGCATAAACAGTTTACATATATTTTCCCAAGTGACATTTGTAGAACAGGGTTGCAATCCCTCATCCGTCATCTCTGTGTGATAGCATCGGGTAAAACCATTTTTGCCAAGAATAAGTCATAAAAATTTTGGTTTAGGTTTTAATGGAAAACATAGGTACTCAGAATTCAAGAAGCTTTGACTTGGAAGGTTCATGCTCTTGTACAGTTAGACAAGGTGCAGAAAAAAATTAAGTATCTTACAGAATACAAAGATCTATCATAGAGTTTACATAAACTTTTACATTCATATCAATTTTTCCAAGTATAAGTTGAATTTCTGTTGTCCATAGGCCTTAGCTGACATGTATATAAGGTGAATGTCACTGGTGATCCGTTGAAGCAGAGGAGTCATTTCTCCCTTGCTCCAAAGATTATGTCAGTTACGTGAATTAATAAATTCCTCAGGAGCACGAAAGCTCAATCTTGTGTGAACAGTTTTTTACTCTGAAATTTGAAAAATACAAACTTTTGGCTTCCAAATAAATTAAAGTCCAATCCTACTGTTTTCATTATGCCTTAACTGATACAAGGCTTCCTTTGAAATTGATAATAGTTACAGAAATGTATGTTGGATACCCTGAAAAGGTGGACCGAAATGTTTGAGAATGAACATATTCACTTTCTGAATAACTAAAGTTATGATGGTTCTGGAAGCATGTAAGTTTTTCGTAGTGCAGGTAAGAGTCAGATGCATGGAGCACATTTCTTAGTCAGTAATCAAGCTTTGTGCTAAGATATAACTGACCTAGTGAGAAATGTGTTTTCCAGATAAACTGGAAACCAGAGTTAGACAAACAGTTATCATCAAGTGTTTTCCCCAATACTATAATAAAATATGTCAGTTAGATATAAACAAGACAATATAAACCCTATGGGATCATGGACTCAGTCCAGCTCACCATGAAGCCAGTGAGGGATTTGATCATTGACAATAAAAGAAAGGCAAGGTAAGTTGTGAAAGGCAAACTGATCCAAATGCTCTCTCTATACAGCAAGCACTATCTCATAATAAGTGAGGAGCAATGATTTTGTTTGGGTACAACAGAAAATGTGAATCAAACACCTTTCCTATCTCTCAAACTAATTTGAAAATACCATGAGCAGTATCTGCATGCATATATAAGATTTTAATTATTGTTCCCCTCCTGCATAGGCTGGAGAGGAAGAAGTGATTGAGCATATGTATCCTATCACCAGAAAGCAAAGGAAGGGATTATTGTGAAATCATGGAAGGGAAAAAAAGCAAACTGTTCTGATCTTGGTAGAGCAGGGAGGGGTGGACTTTAAGGCCTTGTTAGGAAAGCAAAATGCTGTATTTCTTGTTGTTCAGTAAACACTCAGAGCCAAAGATCCAGTATGTGCAGTTCTCTTATGTTTTACATTGAGAGTTGATGATAAAATAAATGGAAATGTTGGAAGACCCCTTGAGGAGAGAGAGACGTGTAGCCTGGCACACAGATTGGTATAGCACCACATTGGGGTTTCTGAAAGAAGAGGGAAGGACAAAGGAATTTTTGTTTTGTTTCAATTTTGGAAGCAAAATAGAGATTACAATTAAATATGTCTCACAAACTTATAGCAGAGCACAGAAACCCCTTGAAAATATGTTTTTATTTAAAAAAACACATTTAAAAAAAAAATAGATAATTCACAAGGTGTAACTCTAATGAAAAATATGCTAGTATAGATGAGATCTAACCATATCAACATGGCTATATGAATGCTTTTGTCCACCCAGTATTTACATTAATTTAAAGGAAATCCCTGTACTTTGATGGTTCTTAATTTGCTATCGTTGTTATTAATCAATAAGAAATTCCACACCTTCTATGATAAAAAAAGAGAAACAGCCAGACAGAAAAAAAAAGAAAAAAACACAGCACAACTGCCTCCTCCCTTTAGTTTCTTGTATGAGCTGCAAAACTGTAGAGTGCCTACTATTTTTACATCTAATGCAGTATTGTCTGATGATCATATTCTTTTTTCCTATCTGTTATTTATTTTGTGAAGTTTTCTTTTTTTTGTGGTATTTTTTTTATTAATAACAACAACAATAATAATAATATATAATGTTATATTTATATATTTAATTATATATCTTTATATGAAAATATATATAATCATATAAATATTGATAGTATTAGTATTGTAATTTCTGGCTAACTACAAAAATTTAGGCTTGGTGTTATCTATAAAGTTTCAAATCAGGATCATGCTTGCAAAGAAAAGGCACTTCACAATTCCCAATGTGATTCCACAATTCTGTATGTCGTTATTCTTACATCCTCAATATGAGCGAGCCAGCACAGTGTATGTGAGTAGACACAGGGGTGAAGCAGACTCTGTGGAGGGAACAGCAGAATCTCTATTAAAGGCAGGCTTCATCTCGCCCATGTTTTGCTGTCTACCGCTGTGCCAGATACTCAAGGATCTTCTTGTAGTTAAAAGAGAGGAAAAAGGCATTTTAGTGGTGCTTGACTCATCTGATCATGTGCAAACTTCTAGTTTAGGGTAACATAAATCTTATTCTAGATGACATTGACAATCCTGACTAGCTCTCTGTCAACTGTAAAGGGAGACTAAAGTGACAAGTTCAAAGATAGATGTCTATATTCAGATGAATCCTTCCTTAATTTGTGAGGGAGAAAGATGCCATCCTTTTTTTTCCTTCCAACTGTTTACTTCTTGTAATCCTATAGACTGCTGGCTGAGCAGCAGAGCGAACGTTACAGCAATCAAATCTTGAAATAAAACC